GCTACATAAAAAGTGTAGGGGGGCGTGTTTGCGGTCACGTCCAGCGGGTGTGTGGGCGGGAGCGTTACACAGTCGCGTCGTCCATGGTCTCTACAGTCAATGGTCTCAGTCAAGACACAGACATCAGAACAAACAAAGCTGAATACTTATTTCATAACTAGTGAATTTTTCTGTACAGCAGTTGGAAGTCTTCCTTCTGTCCAGCTATGAAAGATTAGGATGTTCATGTCAAGTGTACTTTTTTTTTAATTGATTCAGTGTGCAACTGACTCTGGGCTGTGTAGTAAAAGACGTTACTTTATATGTTTGACAACTTGTCAGGGTAAAGAAAGCAACAGACGATGTTAATAGACAGATATTAAGGTTTAGCCAGAGATCATCTCTCATATTCTTAAAGGAGTCCTGATGGATATTCTCATCATGACCAGTAGATGGAGACATTGTTCTGCAGTTGAAGCCAGCTTAAACAATAAAGGAAAATGGGCATTCTCATTTGGCTGCTGTATGGACATGTGAAAGGAACTGGGGTTTTAGGCTTTACTTATTTATTTGAGTAAAGGTGAGGGTGCTACAAATGCGGTATACAAAGATGAAACCCCCATTTAATAACTTGCAACTTATTTTCAAATGGAACTACTTGGCATAAATGTGTCCCAATCTAATAAAAACCGTCTGTACCTGCGTCAAACACAGTGTTATCTTCCAAAGACCTCACAGCCACTTCAACAGCATCCACTGCACTTCCTCCTCGTTTCAGCACTGAAAATCCTTCTCGTGCTGCAGTTTTTACTCCATCAACAGAGGCCTTGGCCAGTTCATCCGGTATGGCCCATGCCCCACCATGCACAACCAAGACTGCTGACATCTTTGCTTTCCTGCATGGAATAGACAAAGTAGTTTATTAACAGTTACAGCCTAGAAAATAATTCACTTTTTCTTTGAGCATTAGGAAAAGCACCAAGTGATCATTGGTATCTTCTTTTTGCCTTGATCCAGACATACTTCTCAAACTTTTACATACAAAGAAATGTCTTTCGTTTAATAAACGGAAACTGCTAAACTAATTATTTGCTCTGCACTCCACTGGTAATGTATTTGCACCACATGAATTTGCACCTTGGAACAACTGATACAACTTCTATCGAAGATCATATCATCAAGACTGAACTTTGAAATGTGGTCATTCCTTCATTTATCCACAGTTTAGCAAATAGCCCGTGTTGCCAGTTTTTGGCTATTGCCTGGCTATTAGAAGACCAATTCAATTAGAACAGCTGTTAATAATAAGTTATCTTAAATGTATTATGGCTTTAGCAGCTTTGAATTACCAGCTACAATCAAGTACTAAACTATAATAATTGATCTTCTCATAATTTATTATGGTTCAATTTTATGTGTACATAAACATTTTTCCCCTATTACCTGGATGCACTTGAACTGTGTTTAATGTATTGTAATCTAATCACAGTCGCTGACGTGATATTGATAGTTATTCATTTCATTCGGACCAACCTGTAACATAATGAGACGTTGCATTTTGTCCTACCTTTTCCGAGCCTCAAAATTCCCGGAAGGATATACACTTCGCCATAGACACGTGACTTCAAGAGACTACTGTTCGCGGTTTAACCAGCGCGTGCTGCACACTGACGTCCAGTTTGACACTATGGCCACAACCGAGATAAGACTTCCGACAAGTTTTCAAAATTAAATCCTCACGCCACTAAGCAAACTAAGAAGCACAATGTTAAAAGGCTCATCTTGTATGGCATCATTTTCGTGCCACTATTCTGAGCGCACGTAAAGTGGCACAAAAATAACGCCATATACGGACGGCTATGCTGCATTTATGTGCAATCTGAATGTAATGCTCCTTATCGCTGAAATACTTGGGTATTGTAATGTAGTTTTATTGTGAAAACGTCTGAATTTCTGGAGCCGTGTGCTTGGCTCGATAAAGGCGGAGCTAAAAAAAAAAAAGGGCAAAAAGAGGACAGAGTTTAACAAATGGTCAAGCAATTGGACTATATATCAGGTGGACATGTTCACATGGGCTAGTTTTCACCAGCTGCAGGTTATATCATAGGCTATTGAATTCTTAAACGTATATATTATGTAGGGTGCATGCTTTAAAGTTCCTTAAAACATTTTTTAAAATGTAAGTACCCAAAAAAGGATCTGCAAACGAAACAACTGTTGAAAAGAAAGCAGAAAAATTAGAATAAATTTACTCTTATATTACTAATTTTTACAGAGAATCAGCAACAAACTTTAAAATACAAGCTTTTATAAAAGGAAAATATAGCTCCGTGAAAATGTGAAAACAGATTAAAGCAAACAAAAGGAGATAAACAACTCCTTCTAAACTAATTTGACGTAACCCAGAGGTGTTCTGGTGTTATATGCCTTACATTAAAGCGTTGCCATAATGTACATTTTTAACGATAGTGTTACCAGTCTGTCAGTAAAACGTGTAACGTTGCACTTTGACCAGTAGAGGGCTGCAAGAGTCCATCAAATGCATAGACCGCATATAAAGAAACATATACTAGTTATGACCAAACCAAGAGGAAACGTTGATATTAAAATTGTAGTGTCAGTTATACTTTGATAAAAGTATTTTCTTAAAGAAGTTAAAAGAAGTTTAAATTTTACTCTCACACACAGAAAGCTAAACTTTCTAATTTTAAGTTCTGACCCTAGTAGTTCTGTTGATAGACTGTAAATAAAAGATGGATGTTGCCACCGTGACATCATAAACAGTATAAAACATGGACATGGTTTATGGGTCATAAATATGAACCCACTGGAGAAGTGTCTTGAACCTGCAATCTATCCGTAGGCCACCAGATGGTGATAGCTGTTGTTTGCAAAAAAGACCTTGGGGCATGTTGAGGTTTCTCATGTAAAGTCACGTGCTCATTGCTCAATAATTGTCTGCCATATTGGGCATGATATAACCACCGGTTGGTAGAAAAAGGTGCAACTTTCACTTTGTAGCAAATGATCTACATTTCTGATTCGCCTCACACTTTTCACTGTTTCACTACAGCCTGGAGAGCAGCTGGGAAGTGTTCATAGAGAAAACCATCTCTTTCATTATTTTTAAAAATAAAAAGTTGAAGTGAGAAGAAATAAAACAGTTTTTTTATGCAGTAAAATTTGGAATGTTAAGATTGGAGTTTTTGGAAATTGATTTGCTTTTGCCTCTCCACTAGTAAATGCTAGTTTCAGTCTTGTGTTGGCTTAATTTGGGATTATTTTCCATCTCGTTGAGATGATGAAAGCAGACATTTTTCTATAAAAATATTTAGAAATATATTAAAAACTATAGTTTGTAATAAGCTGTCTATGTTTTTGGGTTTTTTTGCTGTTGTTTTCATCTGTTGGTGTGTGTGGTGTGTGTCTATTCCGATGTGCCTGCATTAGTTTACATCTACAAACATACTATAGACTTACAAGACTCAAACACATTAACTGTCATAACCCTCATTACCATTAATAGTCACAGCAACAGCAGCATGATTTGCATTAACGCTGTCATAAATCATTTTATTGAATGGAATTAAATCAGTGAAGGTCCAGCGAGCATGAAATGCAAAGACAGTACTGGCCAACGTGGGCATAGCTGCTTGTTTTAGGCTTTCAAGAAGAAAAATAAAGCTGTGTCTGATTTCATAGAGAGAAGAACTTAATGAAAAATAAATGAAAAGGGGATGTAAGTGTGAAGTTTTAATCAATACTAACTCCTTTAAGGCTTGTTTGGTATTACAGAAATAAGCAGATTAATGAAATAGTTCTGTCAGACAAACCCGCTTGGGTATTCTGGCCTCTAAAACAGTCTTTTAAATCACCCTAAAAAGCCATAAAAAAGTCATACTCTGTAATCTTCAATGCCAATACACAGTTTAAATGAAAGAAACCATTGGCTCGGTTTTATGGGTATTTCCAGCCATTAATGTACCACAGAGCACCCCAAAACAACAGCACTAGTTTTCCAAGACAAATGTTCTGGTTTCTCAGAAGATATTGAATTCTACCAAAACTGAGAAGAATCCTAAATACTATGAACATAATTGACTCATATTCACAAAGCATTGCTGTTTGCAGCCGCGAGGAGCCTTTATGATTCTGATCAGTGCGGGGAGAAACAACTCTAAAGGTCAAGTGGAGCCAGAATTGGTCGTTCACCAGCCTCATCTGCTCAAATCTAATTTGTGAGTTAGTAAAGCAGCCTGCATGCTGTGCCGAAGATGACTTTTGGATTCAAGTCAATATCATGGCTTGGGGACAAGAGAGCCATTTGATGAGACATAAACATTCATGCTTACAGTGCAGACACCACTAACGCTGGCTCTTGATGAGTAAGTGAAGAATTCACTTTATTATTAAATATCTATTTATATGAAAGCTTCTTTAAGCCAAGTCTGCCACTGACTATGCAAGCAGCTAAAGCTCTACTAGAGTTGACCTTCTTCCGCCATAAGAGGGGATCCACCTCAAAGGATGTAAGGAAAAGATCTGACCAG